GAATTTAATTGCCTATAATTAAGGGTGCATATAACACACGTGTGCGTATTATTCACGAAAAAATAAGTCTTATGTACATTGATCAATCGGAAGGGGTGCCAATTGGGATTGTTCACTAGCCAATATATTAGCAAATATCGCCGTGGGCGCTTATTAGAGCGGGCCGCTTATTACGTCAAATACAGTAAGTACAATCTCAGAGCTCTGATGACTGTGTCATGTATCATAAATTACACACAACACAGGAATTAGTGATGTGGTATGGTAAATAGAGCCTAGAGGTACTGAGTGTGTTCACAGATCTATGTTGTGTGGACAAGATTTAGGAAGTGTTAGTCAGACACAAATATTGAAATGTTTTATATGTACTTGGGGCATAAAGACATAAATATTAGGTTGCATTTTTGAATAATACGTTGCACTAGTGCATGGTTTATCTTGCTAAATCAAGCCCTGATCAAGAGTGTAGAAAAAATAGTCAAATCTCAGAATAATGGATTATCTGTGCCTTGAATACAAATAATATAAGTCCTTAGCCATAGACTCAGGACTAATAGCAATGTAATTCAGTCAGACAGGTAATCCATAATTCCTTGTGTTTGATTAATAGCTGATCTTTCTCTGTAACGTGAAACCCTGTTAAAATTCTAGATGGTAATACACTCGGTAAAATCGACCAGATTAACGTATTTCCTGATTAACCAATTACTGGGCCAGAACAGAGTGTTTTCCATTTGTAATTATATAGATGGTCCAGGCCGTGATCAACGGAAGGTGGGACTACCTACAGCTACAGCGGGCTCCAGTCTAACAGGATATATTGTATCAAGGTGAACTAGTTCAAACTTAAAATCACATTGCTAACATCTCAGCTTTATGTATAGAGGTGAAACTTTTCTACATAAGCCAGACATCCACATTAACAAGCATGGAGATAGGTGAAGTATAATTCCACTTCAGAAAATGTTCACATTAGGAGGTTTAGATCTGTCACAGTTAAACCAAGACAGTTGTACATATACGAAAAACTCAGAATAATCCTATGAAAGAAAATAAATCTGTACACAAAACGTTTCACATCCTAATTAATAACCAATACCAGAACACATCAACCTTGGACAAGTCTTACCGTGACATGACCCGAACAAATCCACACAGAATTCAGATCACAATCACAAACTAACACTCCCACCTGCTGCTAAATATTCCACAATACTGACCTCACTTCTCCACCATGCTGTTCCAACACAAAGCCGCACAGCAGCACTTGAACATCAAGTCCAACACTACACTGTTGCCCACCGTCTACCTGCACACATTACACCCGATCACAGACTTTCTCAACAGGTTTATCTGGACCCGCCTCTCATCAGTGAAAACTCCCCGAGTAATCAAGCTCTTGGCTTTCACCAAGGTGGTATAACGGTCTATTGTTAACTGGAAAGGTACACAAACAAGCCACTTGGAAACACGGGCCTGTGAGGGAGGAGCGTGTCGACTGGGGGTCACCCAAATTGTTTATTTGGTACAAACTTCCTAGGAATTGACAGAACTTTTATTTGGATTACACTGTTTTTTAAGCACGACATGTTTAGAAATATATTTATTAGGTCAGGATTATTTATTGCTTCTGATAAGCTGCACAACTTGAAGTGATAAGTTGAACAGCCTGCACAAATCAAACAGAAATTGCATGTGATCTTTTTTATGAGGCCAGACCAATTGAATTTCTTGGTTTACACAGTTTTGGGGGGAATATAAAAAATAGATAAATATTGTCTGGTTGATTTCAGGTTAGTTTCCAAACTAAGGGCTTTTCTTGAGCAAGACATCTGAGCTAAGGGCCTCTCTTCCACTAAGTTTCTGAACTAAGGGCTTGTCTTGAGCAAGGTGTCTGAACTAAGGGCTTGTCTTGCACAAGGTGTCTGAACTAAGGGCTTGTCTTGCACAAGGTGTCTGAACTAAGGGCTTGTCTTGCACAAGTCGTCTGAACTAAGGGCTTATGTTGCACAAGGTGTCTGAACTAGGGGCTTGTTTTGCACAAGGTTTCTGAAATAAGGGCTTGTCTTGAGCAAGGTGTCTGAACCAAGGGCTTGTCTTGATCAAGGTGTCTGAACTAGGGACATGTCTTGCACAAGGTGTCTGAACTAAGGGCTTCTCTTGCACAAGGTGTCTGAACTAAGGGCTTCTCTTGCACAAGGTTTCTGAAATATGGGCTTGTCTTGAGCAAGGTGTCTGAGCTAAACCTGTCCATAATAACATCCCTTAGGAGTGCCAGAAACCTGTCGTGGGTTTGAAACCCAGATTCAACCTGATGATGTTTCTAGGTCTAAGACCTGCACCGTACTGATACAAGTGATACACGTGATACTGTTCAAAGTGACATTAACCACACTCACTTTCATCTGTAACTTATTCCTGACCATCAGTGAGTTGTAATCGAAAATGAAAACAAACTTGTCAATATGCCTTACCAGTCTGATTAAGTGTCTTTGTTAATTAACACTGCACTAAGCAATATTCCAGCTATTAGAAAAATAACTGAGTATGATCCAGACAAGTAATTGATATTTCCATCAACGTCCGATCCTGTCATACAATCAACCAATTCACCAAGTCTGACCACTGAATCACGGCGTGTCAGCTTAATGTGGGAGGAAAGCCCGAAGTGATGCAGGTCTCAGATGTTTAACACTTCGGTGAAACCCACGAGCATGGGTATGGTGCTGACAAACCTAGAAAAATAATTGGGGCGAACCGGGATTCGAACCATGCAATCATAGGTTTCTGGCGTGCCCAAGGACACAACTCTGCATGGCGAATCGCAGCGCCTTAGACGACTGGGACACCCGTGCCCCCTTGTACTGTTCTAGAAACATACCCTCATTGAACCCAAGTCCTACTTGTTTCCTTGAAAATGCAATATTTAGTTAATTCCAGAATGACAAATGCACCAGTTCAGCACAAGCCTGATGTGTATACAAAGTTTCTCAAAATATTAATGGGTAATGAGTTACGCTCTGAAGACATGACATACTATAGCCTGTTTCTACTCATCCCCTGCAAAACTTTGTTTGAGCAGGGAATAATAACAAGGGTGGGAAAAGTCAATATAAAAAAAGTGACACCATACAAATGGTAGTCGAGGGTGTCATATGGCAAATCACTCAAGAAACACAAACAAAGAAGTGTAAATAACGAAGCCATGAACCCCCAGCAAGCAGGCACGAATTACTGTCTGTGTGCACAGCCAGATAATATATAGGAACACTTATGCTTGTTGTGTCCACAATGATATATGACCCACTGATGGGTATACTGAACAATAGTGGATGTGCCAATGTGTGTACAGTCAATATACCACATGACAACGTTCCTCAACAACACGCTTACTGCTTTCTGGATTTCACAACCATGAGTGAGTGAGTGAGGTGTGTTTAATGTTGAAATCAGAAATATTCCAGAATATCACTGAAATTTTTAAACACCCAAACATCTATGATGGATATGATGACACACAATATGCCAAGTCCTAAAATAGGTCGCCAGTACCCTATGCTTGTCTCCCTGTGGGGATTTAAGGATAGAAAAGGTTCCCCCATTACTTCTCACCCTGTGGGGAATCCAGAGTAGAATAGGTCCTGAAGTACCCCATGCTTGTCTCCCTGTGGGGATTAAAGGATAGAATAGGTCCCCTGAGTACCCCATGCTTGTCTCCCTGTGGGGATTCAAGGATAGAAAAGGTTCCCCCATTACTTCTCACCTGTGGGGAATCCAGAGTAGAATAGGTCCCCAAGTACCCATTGATTCTCTCCCTGTTTGGATTCCAGATTTGAAGGGGGCCCCAATGCTTGTCTCCCTGTTGGAATCCAGATTGGAATAATTCCCCAAGTACCCATTTATTCTCTTCCTGTTTACATTCCAAGTTAGAACGGGTCTCCAGTACCCCATGCTTGTCTCCCTGTTGGAATCCAGGATAGAATAGGTCCCCAGTAGCCAGTGATTCTCTCCCTGTGGGGACTACAGGGCAGAAGAACTTATCTCACAGACTCCCACTGAGGATGTATACTGCCCCAGGGAAACCTCACTGGCCACGACAGACATGCATGAGGAGACATGCATGAGGAGAGAAGCATGAGGAGACATGCATGAGGAGACAAGCATGAGGAGACAAGCATGAGGAGACAAGCATGAGGAGACAAGCAAAGGATACTGGGAACCAATTCTGCCCTGGAATCCCCAAGGTAGACAAGCATAGGGTGGTGGTGACCTATTCCATCATAAGGGACCCGTGAAGACCCGGGGCAGAATTGGTCTTGAGCAACCCATGCTTGCCGTAAAACATGATTATGCTTGTCGTAAGCGGCGACTAACGGAATCGGGTGGTCGGGTTCGCTGCCTTCCTTGACGCATGTCATCCATTCCATTTGCGTGGGTCGATGCTCATGATATTGATCACTGGATTGTCTGGTCCAGACTTGATTATTTACAGACCGCCATCATATAGCTGGAATATTGCTGAGTGTGGCGTTAAACAACAATCTAACCAACCAACCCAAGGACCCCACCTGCAGTCACTATTGGGAGGCAAGCATGGAGTACTGGTGATCTATTTTATCCTGGGAAAGCCACAGGGAGACAACCGTGGTGAAATCTGGCATCTATTCTATCCCAAGGAATTCCCATGGGGAGACAAAAATCGGGTACAAGGGACCAATTCTGCCTCGGAGTCCCAAAGGGGTGTTATGATATGCCATAAAAAAACAAAAAACATGACACATAAAGATCAGAAATGATGAAAATCGTTGCAAAGGAAATATTAAAAAATGGTTAAGTAGCAAAACATGAACTACTGAGGAAACAAATAAAACAAACTACCTATTCTATATACTGCTTGCATAGATCTACTTCCCCAGGTCTGACAAAAGCATTTTCGCAATTGTTATCAAATTTGTTGCAGTGAAGCCTCTAAGAGAAGCTGGCTATGTGAAGATACTTACAGAGATGAGGGAGGACCTGTGTCTGTGGGGAGAGTCCAGCAGGTCCATTGTGTATTGCAACGGCAATGCCTCAGTCCGCCACACTTTCCATAAATGATACATGTAAGTCGGCGCTGCCATGGAGCAGAGGAACAGTGACAACAGCTGCTTCAATCAGCACACATCTTTAATGAGCTTAACAGTTCATATTGGCATCATCCACATTGTACCTTAATAGTAGTTGCCTCAATCAGCATCAATTCTTGACAAGTTCACTTTGGTATGACATATGCTGTGCCCTCCAGCTATCTTTAAATGGTTCCATCAATATCAAAAGTCAATACAACCTACACATATTGTCATGTTAATGGAAAAGGATAACACTTGACTTGATTCTGTTGGATCAATATTTGTGTCCCCACGCAATCAATAAAAAACATAAATGTGTCTGCAATGAGATAATATCTACAGAATTTATGTTATATTAAACTGACTTTGTGACGCAAACAACTTCATCTCCTGAGGGAATTTCATACATTTTGTAATATCAAGTGGTTTTATATTAGATTCCTATATATTGATGCATACTGTCCACACAATAATTGGACACACAGTCCGATTCCACAAAATCGATCACAATTCATTAAAAACAAGGGTCAAACACATCCGCCTTGGCTGACTCCCTGCTGAGCATCAGTCCGTCATGACCTCCATATATCTGTAGGTTCTCAGGACAACCAGCTCAAATATTGCTTATCATCCCCACAAATCATATCCTCACAAACATAATCCATCCCACATTTCGGCTCACAGAACACGTTCTTTAACCACACATATATCTATCTTCACTCCAATGAATCCTTGAATTGGACCCTGTTCAGCTCACACAGATCAGACCTTTACACCTCAGATGTGAGAATTGAAAAATTAATGACAAGGACGGCATCAAATCATTTCATCAGCAAAAGTATGGACCAACCACCAACCAATCAATAACACATCCGATGTCACATGCAGAGTCTGTCGTGCCTGGGAAACATTTGTCATCCATTCAGAATCAATTGATCCATTTAGATCTATTTGTGTGTAAGCATTTTCTATCATGGTAAGACTGAACAAATCAATACTTGAAGTAAAAGAGGTCTACTACACTGTTCACAGGCTTAATTGTTATTGGTTGCTAAGTTCTATGTTAAAATGTAAATATTTAATGGCTCGGACTAATTACCATCGGCACAGGGTGGTTTATAGATTAAATGGTGTTAGGTTGAAATCCCAATTCTTCAAACATCTGGATGATTTATTTTTTACTAAGCCAAATTATAATCAAATATATTAATCATTCTTGAATGGTCAAGGTAATACTATAACTTGCTAAGCTAAGCAAATAATATATCTAAATCAATGTTACACAAAATTTAATGCTTTCCTTTAGCCAAAACAATTTGACACTTTTATCACCAAATAAAGCATGATTTTTGTCACAAAAACATACTTAACAACTTTTAATCTAGTAGATTAATCATGCTGTGTAGATCTGAGAAGCGTGATGTGGACAAGTTTGAACTTAGCTCCTACTGGTAATTGAAAGCACTACATCAACTTGTTTGATCAGGGACTTGCTGTTAGGCAATCACCAGGAGTTAGCAAGGTGATCCTGACCTTTGGCTGCATACACTCAATAATGTTTCACAGCTCCGACGTGGCATGACTTTAACTATATCCAGGCCTCAAAGTTGCGACTAAAACGGTGGCCAATGCGACCTGAATTTCAATTTGTCTACTGTCTAAAATTCAGAGGTAGCCAAATGACTACCTTGAAAAATATCTTGTGTCAACTAAATTCTACTGCTATGATTAAACACAAAAATAGATAACACATCTGCTAATAATTGTACTCACAAATTATTCCTCCTAAAGTTGACAATGAACACAAATACATATTGTAATCAGCATTTTGTTTTAGTTGACAATAATTTCCACTAATATACAATTCCAAGACTAGTGCTATGACTTGTACATATAATAGTTATTTGATAAAAGATAATTTCAAATGCTTTAGGCTACCTACAATATTGGCTTGACTTTTTTATTTTACCACTGTCTACCTGGAAAAAAATTACTTGTAGTCATATGGCTACTTGGTAAAAAATTAAACTTTGAGGCCTGATATCACACCAAACATAAATCAATAAACACTCGCACACAACATGCAAAACATCATAATACTTGTAAAAGACATTCAAGGCATAACATTTCACTTTAAAGAAACCTTGCTGCAAGCCTTAATGCTAAGTTTGTTCTGAGTAGAATGCATTTTTGTAAAGGAATTTTGGTTAGAAATTGAAATGTACCTAAACTCGAAACTTGCATGTGATATTCATATTATATAAGTTATTTTGCTACAACTAAAACAACTATCTTTTCAACCAGATCTGTGTTGATCTTTGTCCGTGCTAATAACCTAGCTGATGTCCATCCTTTCACCTATCAGCGCTAATTACCCACGGCCTCTAGTTTGCCAAGTGTCCATTACCTATTACTTATCTATGATAACTTAAGTACTGGCTTATGTGACGTGTGATACACTTGGGGAAGCACATGGATAGAACGAAACAGAACTGAATGCTGAATATTTTTCCAAAATCTTGTCACTGTCTAAATATACCCAATAAACAAGGGGGCACAGGTGGCCCAGTCGTCTAAGGCGCACAGAGTGCAGAGTTGCGTCCCTTGGGCACGCCAGAAACCTATGATGTGCCCTATGATTATGGCGCACAGAGTGCAGAGTTGTGTCCCTTGGGCACGCCAGAAACCTATGATTATGGGTTCGAATTCCGGTTCACCCTGATTATGTTTCTAGGTTTATCAGCACCATACCCGTGCTTGTGGGTTTCACCGACGTGGTAAACGTCTGAGACCTGCATCACTTCGGGCTTTCCCCTCACATTAAGCTGACACGCATGATATAACTGGAATACTGTTAAAAGCAGCATTAAATCCCAACTCACTCACTCACTAAACAAGACCGAGGGAGTAGATACTGAAGAAACCATGTGGAATCCTGATGAACATAACCTGCCTGTGAGCTACACATGATCAATACATGCATAACAACTCCTTGTGTTTAGCATACACTATAACTTATTCATTCAAAATGACAATTTAACCATGATCGTAAATAAAAGATTGATCAGCCGTTATTTGGTTTTGATTTACGACATCCAGTTCCACATAAATATTTATTTCCACCATTGATGCAGTCAAACCTTGATGCATATGGGATTAACATTAACAATATTTATTTTCTGTTATCCCTAATGTGCAATTTGCAAGAAAGAACAGCCACCGATCTGGAATAAAATCTGGGTGCAATCCAAATTCTGCACTGCCGTGTTTATTGATTAATGATAATCTGTGTCCGAGGTATGCAAAGTACACAAACGTTTTCATAACCAAACTGCATTTAGGCAACAGTTGCCATAGGCATGAGCGAGAAACTGATTGAACTATCAATGTATCACGATTGTCCATGAACCACAAGCAAATAATACATCACTTAGTGACCACTCTGTGATATCACGAACATGAATGCTGGACCACACATTATGCATAGATGGAATAAAATGACAAGCATACTGTTAATGATCATTTTTCATTCTTCTTAGTCCAAAATACACCTTGTATTTAAAGTCAGTCAGTTCATCATTAAATGTCAGACGATATTCAGAGTTACCTCCCTTACAATTTCTTGAATATATGTTGTGAAGGGTGACTTAGACTTGCACAAGTCCCTAAGGCAATAATTATTAGTTTCAAAATAATTTCTAGATTATGTAAATAATAAAAACAAGTTGTCCCTATAAGAGACTGGAGTCCTTTGACTGTCCACGTATCTAGACTTGCCTATTAGGAGGATAGAATTACTGCACATCCATGGACTTATCTTTCAGTACAGCCTTGGAGCAAGGCTAAGGGTGACTGTTTTAGGCTAGATATGAAGACAACTAATGGAGCCCTATACTGTGGAGGAAAGTGCAAGTTATTTCAGCATTTCCATAATTACCTGTAAAATTAAGCTTGGACCGGTAATTCATGTGACTGGCAGTCCCTGTGGACTGGCAAATAAAGTACCTTATAAATCTTTGTTGTTAAATAAAACATCGGTGATATTCATATAAGTACATTTTTCGAACAAAGTCAGCTTGTTTTTTACCATAAGGGTTTCCCCTGGTCTATTTCTAGGTTAAATATCCATTTGTAGCAACTTTGTCTCGAAATATTAAAAAAGAAGAGAAAATTGTGACTGAAGTTTGTGTGAGTGACGTATAGATCTAACTAAGTTCCTTCAGAGATGACATCTTTGCACTGAACATGATGATGAAGGAATTAAAACCAAATAATTTTCATACGTTTTTTTATTTGTTGAAAGTTGGGACTTGCAAAAATTAGGGGGGACTGGTAATTTTTAGAGTTTCAAAAACCAGCGGGAACACCAAAGTTACCATCCCCAAACTATGGCAAATGTAGCAGCCATATTATGTCCCGTGATTGGATTTGAACCACAGACTTACAGACCTAAAGTCCACATGACCAAATAAGGTAAACCCTTTTAACAAGCCAATAAGGATGTCATCTGTGGGATAAAAATATACTATTCACAAGAAGTTAAACAACACCAAATTGTTTCACATTACTATAGTGAATATGAAAGAGTGGGGTGTTTTTTATATTCTTTTGAGTTACCCAATGAAAAATGTAATAACCCAATTAAAATAGAAACCTCCAAGTGAAAACTCAATTGCTCAAAAAGTTTTCTGGAGCTCTGCATGTCCTGTCCTACTTCGGTCACCACCACTCACACAGTTTACATTAGAAAGTGTTTGTTTGCTGCCTTGCGTCATACTACAGTACTCTTGCAGTACAAACCCAGCCTGCGAAGATCCGGGGTAGAATAGGTCTTCAGCAACCCATGCTTGCCATAAAAGGTGATAAGCTTGTCGTGAGAGGCGACTAACGGGATCGGGTGGTCAGGCTCGCTGACTTCCTTGATGCATGTCATCATATCCCAATTATGTGGATCGATGCTCATGTTGTCAATCACTCGATTACTTACAGACCGCCGTCATATTGCTGGAACATTGCTGAGTGCGGCGTTACACAACAAACAGTACAAACCCAGACAATCAAGTGATGGACCAGAAACTTCAGTAACACCATAGCTCTATGTAACTCATATTTCCCAAATTCTGCACATGTGAACGTTGTTTTATTCAGTTACACAAATAAGCTGTCGGTAGTGGAATCTCAGCAAGACTCATCAAAGGACATTTATCAAATTTTGAACTTGAATGACACTCAACATGTGATTCACGAACCAAATTTGAAAGTGATTTTGTGACACTATGCATATTTATTAGCATAATTCATCAAATAAAAACTCTTTATAATGACATTTTGAGGAATTATTTCGTTTCGGATTTGGATTCGAGATTTAGTGAAATGAGTTTTTATTAATTTTGAGGGGGCATTGTTATGTTTTTACCCCATATTTACCTCAGAATTTTGAATTTTAGCCACAGAATTTTGGTTATTTTACCACTAAATGATGATAATGTTACCAATGAATTTGTATGGGCCTGAAATATCCAACTGTCACAAAATAATGCATATTTTCCATACTTTGGGTTTAATTCAGGTTTTACATGTTGCAGGAATGTGTGTTCAGTACACACAAATTTATAGAATGGATGCAGAAAAATATATATTGCCTACTGAGGGACATACAATAATATTCATTGTACAAAATTCTTGACAATTTATTTAATATTTTTTTATTATTTATTAAATCTTACAGAAGCGTACACTGTACCATTTCATTACATCACATGACCTTCATATTTCCTGGGAGGACCCACAAAATTAGTAATCGTGGG